ACATGTATAACTTTAATAAAATAAAGTTTATAATAGGCTAAATTTCTACTAAAGTAGTTATTATAAGTTTAAAGAAATAAAAATAGCTAAAAGAAGTCTAGCTAAGTATTAATATTAAAAAGTAAGCTATTTTACTTTTATTATTTTTTAAAGTAGTAATTACTTTTTAATCTAGTATAAAAAAATTTTACTTTAAAAATAAATTATTATAGTTTTTAAGTGTAGCTAAACTACTAATTAGCTTAGTTTAGACTTGTTAAAGTACTTTAACATGTATATAAAGAAGTATACTATTAGTAGCAACTGTTTACTAGTTATTAATAGCTATAAAAGTAGTAAAATTATTACTATTTATATACTTTTTTACTTATTACACTTTTTATAGCTACTTAATATAGGTTATTTTACTTTTTTAACAAAGTATATAGATGTTAAGCTAAACTCTTATAACGTACTTCACAGGTAAGTTGCTTACACACCTAAGTTGCTTACTTTTGCTAAGACCACACCCTAATAAACTCTATTATAGCCTATAACAACTTGCTCTAGCACTATATAGTATAGTACAGCCTAGAATATTATTTAGATACTACTTTTACTTCTTACTTACACATATATGTGTTATGCTTAGTTTAATTACACTATGTACAGCCCTTTTAGAATAGCTTACTTACTTTAGCTTACACTTACCTTTTTACTTTTTTTATTACTATGCGTTTTAAACTTTTTTAAAGCTATTAAATATAAGCTTTTTTAAATTATTAAAGTTTTTTATATTTTAATTTACTTTCTTTTATATAATTTATGTTATATAGCTACTTTATTAGCTACTTAAAGCTTAGTAATTTTCTATTATACTAATACTAGCTTATCTATAATTATTACTACTTTTTTAAAACTTTTTTAAACACTTTAACTATAAAAGTTAGTAAACTATTTATATACTTTTTATAAACATTAATTATAACTTTAGTTTTAAAGTATTACTTAAGGTTTATAACTACTAAAGCTTATTATATATAAGTAGTAGTAGTAATAAAGTGTATAACTTTATATTAAAGCTTATTATAACTTATTATACGTTAAAAACAACTAATTTACCGCTTTAGAACTTTTTTTTAGATATTACTAAAAGTAATTATAGTATTATAAACTACTTTAAAGCATAGTAAGAACTTTATTTTTATAATATAAGTAATTTAGTTATGTGTAAGGTTTTTAGCTTAGCGCTTATACACTTTTTTATATGCGTGTTAAAGTGCTTTAACTAGTCTAGACTAAGCTAATTAGTAGTTTAGCTACACTTAGAGACTATAATAACTTAATTCTAAAGTAGAATTTTTTATACTAGTTTAAAAAGTAATTACTACCTTAAAAAATAATAAAAGGTAGAATAGCCTACTTTTAGCATTAATGCTCTAAATAGCTGTTGTCTACTTCTAGTTACCTAGCTAGACTGCTTTTAGCTGTTCTTATCTTTTTAGACTTATAATAACTACTCTAGTAGATATCTAGCCTATTATAAACTTTCTTTTATTAAAGTTATATATTTTATTATTTTAGATGCTATACTTAGCTTTAAATTACTATAAAATTTTTATAAAAAGCTTTTTTATAGTTATACTTACACTTAAACTTTACTTTAAGCTTTAGGTAACACTTAGTAAATATATTAAGCTAGTTTATGCTAACATAGCCTATATTATACTTAGTATGTAAAGAACTAGCCATATTAGCTATAGCTACTAGCTAAGAGGGAAATCCTTACACATCTAGCCTAAGTATGTACTAAATAATTACTTACTCTTTATTATTATCTAGCTTTTATAAGTTAGCTGTATAATTAGCTTAGAAAGGTTATTTAGCATGTTAGTTACTTATATTTTTTAAAAGACTTTATAAATAGCTATAGCATGTTACTTAAATAGTGTTATATTTTATTTAAAAGCTTAAAGTATAAGCTATATCTAACATTTCTTTAACATGTCTAAGTAGTGTAGTGTAGTCTTAGTAAAAGTAAGTAACTTAGGTGTGTAAGTAACTTACCTATAAAGTATGTTACATAACTAAATTACTTATATTATAAAAATAAAGTTTTTACTATACTTTAAAGTAGCTTATACTATAATTACTTTTAGTAATATTTAAAAGTTTTAAAGCGCTAAATTAGTTTTTTTTTAACTTATAATAAGTTATAATAAGCATTAATATAAAGTTATACACTTTATTACTACTAATACTTATATATATTAAGCTTTAGTACTTATAAACCTTAAGTAATACTTTAAAACTTAAGTTATAATTAATGTTTATAAAAATAAAAATTTAAAAGTATATAAATAGTTTACTAACATTTATAGTTAAAGTGTTTAAAAAAGTTTTAAAACAAAGTAGTAATAATTATATATAAGCTAGTATTAGTATAATAAAACACTACTAAGCTTTAAGTAGCTAATAAAGTAGCTGCATAATATAAATTATATAAAAAAAGTAAATTAAAGTAAAAACACTTTAATAATTTAAAAAAGCTTACACTTAATAGCTTTAAAAAAGTTTAAAGTGTATAGTAATAAAAAAAAGTAAAAAGGTAAGTATAAGCTAAAGTAAGTAAGCTATTCTAAAGGCCCTATAAATAGTGTAATTAGACTAGGCATAACACGTAAATGTGTAAGTAAGAAGTAAAAGTAGTATCTAAATAATATTCTAGGCTATACAATACTATATAGTTCTAGAGTAGGTTATTATAGGCTATAATAGAGTTTGTTAGATTGTAGTCTTAGCAAAAGTAAGCAACTTAGGTGTGTAAGCAACTTGCTTGTAAAGTACGTTCTTATGTTTTTATTAGATTAAAGCACTGTTTCTAGGCTTCCTGAGATGAATGATGGGTTTGGATATGATGTATAGGATGATGATTGATTGTATTGATTTATTAATCCTTTTTCTGCTCTACTTGTGTTGCTCGGCTTTTTGTTTTGCCGATCCGAGTCCCTCGCGCACTTGCCCTATGCGCGACCAGCTTGCAACATGCTGCAAAATGCTGCAAAATGCTGCAATTTGCTGCAACATGCTGCAAAATGCTGCAACATGCTGCAAAATGCTGTAAAATGCTGCAACATGCTGCAAAATGCTGCAATTTACTGTTCGAGCTTATTGCTTGTACTATGTAGCAGCTTTCGTCAAGCGTTCCTCCTGTCTTAACAGTAGGTGCGCATATCTAACAGTTTTTAAGTAAGTGTAGTTTGAAAAACTTTATAAATTGCTATAGTAGTTTTAAATGCTTAACATGTAGCTTTTTACAATTATTTAAAAAGCTAAAAGTGTTTACCTTTCTTTTATTAGTGTATTAAAGTTTAATAAGCAAAGAAATTATTAACTAAAGTACAATAGGTGCTAAGAAGTCATCATCCTCTCGCTTAACTTACTATATCGGGTCAACCCACACACCTTAAAATTTTCCACACCACTCGTTCTCCTCCTTCTCCACACTACCACCATGCCTTCCCAACCTAAAACTGCTCGCTGTGAATACAATAAGCCTATCCTTGCTAGCATCTAGGCGCTCTCTTGTATTAGTTTTAGCCTCTTAAAGATACAGAAGACTTTTCCTATTCTAATCTTATTAATTAAGTTAATACTTAAGTAGTTGCAAAAATGTAAGGATAAGCCCTAGAAAAAGGCCTGTTGCATAGGGAAACCTTTAAAGCTTAATAAGCGCGTAGAGCAATAATTAGTACAACACCTAGAGCAGTTTCCCTTTAAAATGTATAAAGTACTTGCTACTTCTAGAAAAACAGCAACTGTAATCTGTGTTAATACAGTAAAGTAATACCTACAAAAAAATAAGTACTACGCATTTAAACTGCGCGCTAAGCCCTACTTTAAGCCCTTCTATAAGCTTAATTATTATTGCTAAGGTGCCTATATAAAAACCTAGAATAATAATAACTTTAAATGCGTCTACTTCTCTAATAAATTAACTTTTAAAGTAGGACTTATCTCTACTACCTAATACTGCAAGTAGGAGAAGGGGGCATTGTGTGCGTATAAATCTTAATACCTAAAGCCTACTTTTAAGAGCAGGAGAAGCTTTGTTAGAGTATAGGTAGCTATATCCTAGGATTTTAAGTTAGAGCTAGTTATACTGCCTTAAGGCAAGTAGATAGACTTAAAAAGATACTATAATAAAGTTTTAGCTACTTACACATAGCTGTTTTATGCTAAAGTCTTTAAAAAACGCAGTATTATGTTGTAGTAGAAGAATAGAGCTTTATACTATAGGTTAAAGATAACTACAGGTTTCTAAGAAAAGCTTTGCATAGATTGTATAGTGTAGCTAGCACAAAGTTTTAATTTAAATTCTATTAAAAACCTCTAGCGCATTATAAAGATTTAGATTTTAAAAAAAAAACACTAAATAAGTAATATTAAAAAGATAAAGTCTATCCTAAAGAAGAAGTAGGATAGGTTAAAGCTAGAAGATTAGCAGAAGTGTATATCATCTATGCCCTAGCGCGTTGCTGACGTCAGGGCTGCCCAGGGAGGCTCCACCTGCTAGTGAACAATTACTACTCTAAAAGATTCTCTGTTATTAATTCTATTATATAAATTAAAAGCTTTAATTTTTAATTGCAATCTATCCCTAAAATCCTTATAGAAAACTGTGTAGGCAGATTGTATTCGCTTGCGCACGGTGCGGAGGATGATCACTTCCTAGCACCTACTGTACAACGTGAAGAAATTTTATTAGAGTAGACCGCTTGTTTGTATAGACTACTTGCTTATAAAATACGTTAACTTTTATTATTAGTATGTAAAAGGTTAGTTAGCAGATATAATATTAATTAAAATTTACAGTGCTAAAATTTAGTTAGAGTAGACTGTTTTCTTAAGTAGACTGCTTACTTGTGAAATACGTTAGGTAAAGTTTTTAATTTTACTGTGCTAAATAATATGCTTAGCAGGCTAACCCTAAGCATAGAGTACTGTTTTCCCTAGACCTCTTAACCACTCCACACTACCGGTTTCGGCTTAACAAAGTCTCTGATATCATAGGTCTCATTACCAACATCGGCGTAGAAGTAGATTTCTGTTTTCGTCCACCATTCAGTTAACTGGTATTCTATTGATTCTTTTGTTGTGATGTCTGCTATACCTTTCTGTCCAAACGCATAAACACCCGGGATCTTGACAACTGGGCTTGGCACGTTGACATGATTGCGAGGATTGACGATCCGGACGTGGGCGCAGTTGACGTAGAATTGCGCGCCTTGACTAGATATAACGATGAAAAGTTAGTAAGAAAGACAACTGAAGTTGAACAGGAAAACTAGTCTCAAGGAGCCACTGGCGTATAAAATCTCAGCGCACGATATTTAGCGAAAATAGTATCGTTCAAGCGTTCGCTGCTGCTCAGGCGAGATTCCAAGTTGCAATATCTCACGATTTAGGGCGTGAATTGAGCTTTGAATGGGATACGTACAGTGCGTTCACAGGAAGAGGGTATATATGTTCGAAGCGAAGGAGATAGTTTCCTGGGGGTGTGGATGCCGGTATAGTAAAGTTCCACTACAACGTCACAACCAAGCAATTAGTTCTGGTTGGTCTACATGTACCTATAACAGTAGTCTTCAAAGTGCGGGCAGAAGGTCTTAAAGGAATTCTCACACTCTTAGCTTGATAGGTTCCCCACTGATGTTTCCAGTAGTACTCATCATTCGGCGGCTCAGACTGGTTCGTTCGCCCCACAACACTTAGAATCTTAACCCAGTCTCCGTCACCCGTGTACTCTTTCAATGGACCAGGGGCCGCAGAGAGCCATGCTGTTGCGGGGCCGGGATGGTATAGGTTTGGCCAGCGCTGTGTGCCGTGTAAAAGTGGTTAGAATTTGCACTTTCCCTCAAACCTCAAGTCACAGAGAATGAAAAAGAGACAGGATGGACAAAGGAAAGGTGAGTTGGAGTCCCTACATCCCAGGGCATGACGATCGCGCCCGCGATCGGTAATCCAACCGTAGTATTCACTGCAAATCCGACAGTATCACCAGCCTGTATTACCGCTGTCTTTGGATTCGACCACGGACTTGATGCGTTGCGACCACAGCGCAAATCTGGCGAGCTTGGATCTACGATAGGGATTATATAGTCATAGTCTGTTGGGGTCGCGCTGCCTGATTCTTGGGGGCTGATTTTTCTGCAGCATGAATCGGTAAGTACTGCGCTTGGCGGAGAGGGAATCGATGGTGGTTGGAAGGTCGGATAGCACACCGGATGTATTCCCATGGCTCGGACCAAGTGTTGTTGTGCATCAAGCGGTCAAAGAAGTCTGCCAAGTGTTTAGCGCTAGTTGTTGGTTTACGGGCGCACTGGTTAAGAGGCGGTGGATTGAGGAGTTTGCGACAGAGAGTATGCGCAATCAGAGTTGGAGACTTACAGTGAGCATTAGCGCTCATAAGCGTAGAGGTGACGACGATAAGAACAGTGAACTTCATCTCGAAATGCAATAGATGATAATGCGCCTCAATCTTATGCGATTATGCAGAGTACGCTGTCTTGTAATGTTCTCTTCCTCTGATATATGCGCCAAACTGGCTGCGCAAGGTTGATAGCGCAGAGTTACATTGTGCACTCCGAGCATATTTCTTCTTCTGTATCTGCACGTCGTGAGTTTGATGAAGGAATAGTGGGCTTGCATTCTGCCAAGCGAATGCAACGTAATCTCCGTGTGGTACTCACACAAATGATGGAAAGAGTGAGATCTCGTAACAAGATACGGAGGATGCCATTCGGTTAATATATTCTTATGTGCAATATACTCCGCCAGATCAGATATGTAGGGGTGTTTTAACCTCTTCCGAGTAACTCTTGAGGGAGTTAAAGGATCTGCCCTTTTTTACGAGAGAGTTAATTGCTTAATAAAATTATACATATCATGTCGCATTGAGGAGAGATATAAATAATATTAACGTGTCAGTGTAAATAGCTACACTTGTCTTCGCAGCAACCACCTTTCGTGAAAAACGCGACAGAATCATGGACCATTAGGGAATGCATCCGCTTAATAAGAAATATGAACTTATTGTTCAACGATCCACGATAGAGCTCGTAGCATAAAGAGCGCACAAGTCTATGATATCAAACTCTTAGGTGGCAGCTGACCCCACCCCGCCGTTACCTGCGATTCTTCGGCGGCGACAACTCGGGTGGCCTATTGGAAGACCTGTTTAAAAAGTGGCCGCTTGTACTGGCGACAAAGCCACCCATTCTTTACGGGGGGGTTTATCTCGTGACTGACCTGAATCTAAAGCTTCCGGCAGACTGCCTAGAAAGCAGCGGGCTTGATCCTTATCGTTTTCATTCCCTCTGTGTTATGCTTAGTGATGTTAGTTTATTATCCGGGAAAGATCAATGATCTTGGTTATCGGAGTGGAATAGGTCGAATATTTGATTTGTTGATGGTAGCGTATCTACCGGTCGCATCGATTGCTAATATCCTCAACAACTACCATAAAGCTATGCTTACATACTAAGTTGATTTTCATATGAGAGATCCCGCAACAACTCGCACCTGGCAGGGAGGGAAGCGCAGTTGGTGATGGAGAGTAGAGACAAGCACTATAGCAAAGAGCCGACTTTATGACCACGTAGGTATAAGTTTGTATACCTACTCTACTCTAGCTTAAGATAAGTTATAGTACTAAGCCTTAAACTCTTCACCTAGTATTTGTAACAAGGTAGGCACAGTCAACCACGTGGCCTTCTCTCGCTTATAGAGGTTTAGGCTAGACTAGAGGCAACCGCTAGTGCTAGTGCTAGCCCTAGCATTATCTATATATATATATATATTATACTATGCGAGAATACTTAGCTTAAGCATTCTCGTGCGTATCTTTTAGTGCAGTAGGGAAAGTTGTATAGTATTGATTTTGCAGGCAAGGCGCCTATCTTATTACAGTATTATTTTAACTTAAAGTAATACTAAGCTTTAATAGTAATCTAACCTAGAACTTTTTTTTGTCTTTAAATTAGCTATAACGTATACTAAATAAGTATAAAAGGTATAAAGTAAAATAGTAAAAATAATAAAAGAAAGTATAGTTATAGAAAAGTACAAAGTAAATAACTATTATAGTTAAATGTACAGTCGCCTACTAAAAGTCATTAGCCACTCAACAATCTAAGCTTTGCAGGGGTATAGTTAGCCTATTTAGAAATGAGGTTACTTAGCTAATTGCTACCTAAATTAAAAGATTTTTGTTTCTATCAGAAGCCTGTGTTAAGGCCTATGTTAAGGCCTATCTTCTAGTGTTATAGTTAACTAATAGTAAGTTAACTTACCTTTGTTTTAGATAACTCCCTTTATACGCTTTAACTAGCTTAGGTGTTTTCTAAAGCTTAAAGTAAAGTTTAAGTTTAAGTATAAGAAAAGCCTTTTATAAGAATTTTAAAGTAATTTAAAGCTAGCTTAGTCTTATTAATAATATAAAAGCTAAGTATAGCATTTAAAATAATAACATATATAACTTGTAACAATTCTTACAAATCGTTCCATCTCAGGTCGCTTAGAACCTATCCGAAGGGTCCCTGTATCGGCTCTGACCATGACTTGACCCTGTCCCCCGCAGTTACCTCTATTCCCCCTAAGTATTTAGTCGCACCTCTTCTCTTAGCTAGCTTAGTAGTTTTCTAATATCCTTTGTACAAGGCCTATAGGTGTTAATAGAATTCCCAGGTTATTAAGTCCCCACGCACTCCTATATACCTCTGAGTGGATTCCTACCGCATTTAGACCTATTGTCTTACCTGTGCCGTTACATCACTTTAATAAAATAGGGTTTATAATAAGCAGAATATCTACTAACTATACTTATACTTAAAACTTTACTTTAAGCTCTAGATAACACTTTATAATTATACTAAGCTAGTTTATGCTAATCTAGTCTAGATTATACTTACTATGTAAAGAATTAGCTATATTAGCTATAGTTACTAGCTAAAGAGAAAATCCTTACGCATATAGCTTAAGTATATGCTTAATAATTACCTACTTTTTATTATTATCTAGCCTTTATAAGCTAGCTATAAAATTAGCTGTTGCGTTTTGCTAAAAAGTTAACCTTATTTATTATTTTTTAAAAAACCTTATACATAGCTGCAGCATGTTACTTTAAAAGTATTATATTTTACTTAAAGCTTAAAGTGTAAGCTGTATTTAATGTTCTTTTAGCGCGTTTAAGTAGTGTTTTTGTTACAATCTACAATTAAACTATAAGCTACTAACTACAAGTGCCTCACTGTTTTAAACAAACAAGGCTAGAGTTCCCTTGTCACCCCACCCGCTAAGTTACGTAACTTAACAGACAACAAATAGATAGACTTATTAGACTAGTGCACAGCTAAGGGTAGCGTCTAATAGGAAAAGAACGTTTAAGCGCAACAAGCGCTAATGCGCGCTGTAGGATAGGCAAACGCGCATTGCGCTTAACAACACTTAACTACTAAAAACCTTATGTATATAGTTTAAACTTTAACTATTATTAGAAAGGCTATAATTAAAGTTTAGTATATCCTAGTTTATTACTACATAGACTAAGTAGTACTACTACCTTATAATAAAAGTAATACTAATTATATATCTTATACTATATATACTTTTATCTTGTTTTACTAAGAACTGTTTAACCTAAGCACCTTATACTACTATTAAAGGGCAAGCTACAGTTAGCCTACTCCTCCTACCCTAGAATAAAAGCTACGCGGACTATACACCTATTAATAGCCTAGTCTTTTCTTATCTAGACTCCTCTATTTTCTTTCTTAGCCTAGCGTACTTTAGGTAACTATACTCTAAAGTAAAAATAATAACATTAATTACTACCCTTTAACAAAGTATAAATTTTATTCTTTTTATTTTTAAAAACACGTCTATAATAAGAGCAGCTTTATTAGGATTAACTGTAAACTTAATAGCCTCTAAGGCAGAACTTATAAGATAGGTAGTAAACTTATAAGTTAAACTCTTTACTCTTTACTATTAGCTTAATAAGTAAATAAACACTCTAGTAAAGAAGTCTCTATGCTTAGCACTTTTAAAACTTTTTATAGGTAGTTTAAAAACTTAAAGCTTTCTTTACTTATTACTGTAACAGCGCAGGCAAGACAATAGGTCTGAATGCGGTGGGAATCCACTCAGAGGCATATGGGAGTGCGTGGGGACTCGGAACCTAGGAATGCCATTAACACCTATAGGCCTTGTACAAAAGGATATTAGAAAACTACTAAGCTAGCTACAGGGGCAAGGTGCGACTAAATACATAAGGGAATAGGGGTAACAGCAGGGGTTAGGGCCAGGTCGGGGTCGGGGCCGATACGGGGACCTTCCGGGCCATCCGAGATGGAACGATTCATGAGGATCGTTACAATTACTAGCTCTATATAAGCTACAACTTAGAAGCCTTTTAAACAGATAAAGAAATAGTTAAGTAGATAGGCCTTTACCTAGAAAAAACTCTAGCTATATAGTTCTAGCCCTATACAGATAGCTAGGACTAATACAAGAGAATAGAAACCTAACTATGTAACTAAACCTAATAAATCTTTAAAAACATTAAAGAGTTTAAAAAGGCCTTAAAAACTATCTATAAGTAAGTAAATAAAGAAAAAATAGTAGTAGATAAAATAAATAATTTTTAATAAAAAAAAAGAAATAGTATAGTAATACACAGTATAATTTTGTAAATAATAAGCTATATGCAGCTAGACTAACTAAAGAGCCCTCTACTGCATGTTTTATAAAAGGCTTTAAGACTAAATTAAGAATAAATATAAACACATTAATAAACTAAAGAAACTAGAAGAGTTTATTAAATTAGTAACTATCTATAATAACAGACACTAAGAACAGAACTTTAAATTAAAGAAAAAAAGAACACTAGTTAAAAATCTACATAGGTTTTTTATAAAAAAAAAGAAAAATATTTTTTAAAGAAACTTATAAATCTTAGCGAAGTAAAAGCTATAAAAAAAAGCTTTAAAAATAAAAAAAGAAAATAGACTTTTTTTAACACATAAATAAAAAGGCTAGCTTAAGAAAAAAGCTTACTTAAACTATAAAAAAGTAGAAGACTTCTGTTAGAAATGCCTAGACTTTAAAACCTTAAAGAATAAAAATTTAGAACTAGTAATAAAAGCTATAAGCATAAAAAAAGGCTTAATAGTAGACAAGATCTATAACAAGCTTAATAAAAAACTTTATTAAAAGTATAGAATAAACTATAAACTAACAAATTACTTTATAAATTATTAAGAGGTAAAAGTCTAAAATTGTTAAATAGGCTCCGACAGCTAGCTGCTTATAGTATAAGCACTTAAGTAGCAAGAGTAAGAGTGGTGTACAGTGTGCACAGCGTACAAGGTAGGTAAGGTAAGGGCAACATGTTTCTAGTTCTATTGCTCTTGTCTTTCCTCTGTACAGAGGAAAAGGGGGATATCTAGATGTTCGCGCACAGAGGTTCGCGCACAAGCATCATGTGACAGAGATACGTGGTCCTGCTCGTGCGCGATCGCTTGTATCCAGACTGTGACGCTGCTGCTGCGTACAGACACTGGCAACTTTTCTTTTTGTCTAAAGAGTTGCCTTCTGTACGCGTTACCTCCCTTTTATTTGTGTAGGTTTATCTAATTACATTCTGCCTTTACTTCACCCTATTTGTTAGGACTTGCCTTAGTAATGCTGTACGTTAAGATAGGCTAGTTGCACTATGTAGATAGCTCTATAAATAGTGTAGAGCGTTTTAGGCTATTATTATCTAGCCTTTGTGCGCTTGCCTTGTAAGTAATTTAGCAGTGTACAAACTATTTTGTGCAGGGTTTTGTGCTAGAATGGTGTGGGATCTTTGCGTAGGCAGGTGCGTAGGGAGGTGTATATAATAAGGTCTCCCCTCCTCCTTTACCTTCTCTTCTTTATCCTTCACTCTCTAAGCCCTACTGTACTATTCCCTGGCTCTTTTCTCTTTTTGTACAGTGCTGACAGTGACAGATCCTTATAATAAGAAAGATAAGTGTGTATAATACAAAAAAAAACAAAAACAAACAAAAAACAAAGGGAAATAGGCCTTGTACAAAGGCGTTGTTAGTCTAGTTAGTCTGAGGCATCTTTGCGCACAGGATCTAGCCGGTCCACAGATGCTTCTATCTAGACAGAGAGGCGGTTAGTTAGGACTAATAATTAAAGAGCCTAGTTTAGTGTTTTCTTTATACATGCATCTGCTAGGTTGTCTTTACTATTAATCTACCTAATCTTAGCAATTTCCCTCTTCTTGTACAATTTGCAGAGTAACATAATGTTAATTATAAGTTGCTTTTTGCTAGTAGTGCCTAGCTTAACAAGGCAATTGTACAGAGACCTTAAATCTGTGCAGATTACTACTAGAATTAGTGGCAGTTTAAGCGTTTATATAATTTACTGTAGAGTTGTACTAAGGGTAATTGCATTGTTAAACCCTCTAACTATTCTGTACAGTTTGCTAGTAAGGACACTCTTAGTTACTCTTTTATACTTAGTAGAATTCTAGTGTATAATATTACCTAGTATTTTAAAGCAGTTGCTTTACTTTGTACAGTCCTTATTACCTAATATAA